ATGTACTGTTCCAGTCGTTTTTGGATAATCTTCAGTAGACTCTTGCTTGCATGTGAAATCAATGATATTGTTCTGTAGTTTCCACACTCAGTTGGTCACTGTAAATTGCAAGTGACTCGGTAGCACGTAACAAAAACAACAACATATTTATTTGTATCTGCACATAAATATAAAAACATATTTAATATAATGTATATTATACTTATAAAGGCAGAAGGTCAACTAAAAAGAGAAAGACCCTCAACAAGATGGATCAACATAGTGACTAAGGCAATGAGCCTGAGTATATCAGGCATAATGAGGATGACACAGGATAGGACAGAAAGGTCAGAGTTTGGATCCGTCATTTATAGGGTTGCTGGTCATAGTGGACTCAATGCACCTACATGTTATCATTTGTTGTTAGGTGCTGTTGAGTCGAGTACAACTCAATCCTGTCCTATCCTGTGCCATCTTCATCATCTCTGACACACTTGAGCCCACTGCTGCAGTCACTGTGTCAATCCATCTCATTTAGAGTCTTCTCCTCTTTCGCTGACCCTTCACCTTTCCAAGCATGATGCCCCTTTCCAAGGAATAGCCTCTCCTAGCAACATCCCCACAGTACGTTAGACAAAGCTTTGCCATCTTTGCTTCCAAGGAGCATTCTGACTGCACTTTCTTCAAGACAGACGTATTAGTTCTTTTGGCTTTCATCAGTATTCTTCTCCAATACCACAGTTCAGAGGCAGCAATTCTTCATCTGCTATGCATCCTGGAGAGGGTTAAACCAGGCTACTCCTTGGAGGCAAGGATTCTGGGACTTCGTCTGACATACTTTGGACATGTTGCAGGGTGGGACAGGTCCTTGGAGAGGGACATCATGCTTGGGAGGGTGGAGGGACAGCACAGAAGGGGAAGGCCCTCTATGAGGTGGATTGATTCAGTGACTGGGGTAATCAGGATGCGTGTGCCAGAGGCAGTGCAATTGGCACAGGATAGAGCACGGTTTAGGGCTGTTGTACATAGGGTCGCTATGAGTTGTAAGCGACTCGACGGCACATAACAACAACAACAATGTGTATTCACTGTCCGACTCTCAGATGTGTAGCAAGTTATGGAAAAAGACCATGGCCTGAATCACGTGCACTTTAGTTTTCAAACTGACATCATTGTTCCTCAGTAATTTGGAGAGGTGCATGAAATCAAATTAATAGTGTAACCTAGTCAATTCAATGGAACCTAACAACAATGGGCCAAATATGAATATAGCCTAGACCAGGCATCAACTGAAATTAAATAGACAAATAAATACATATGTATATACATTTATTATATACCTTTTCTCTACCAGACTAACATAATTTCAGCATAGAAAAAATATGTCCCAAAATTAAAAAGAATGAGGTAGAATGAAACATAATGTAAAGAAATTATTCTAGAAAACCAATAAAAATATTTTTTAAAAATTAGATACATATACGCACACATAGATGCATACGCACACAACAGTTTATTCATTCATACATCCCAGGACTCCATTACAAGTATTACAAATGTAAATGTCTTCTGGACCCACATCTGGAGCCTGGTTACTCTCAAGAGTGGTGGAGAGACAGACACAGGAGTACTGTTCATGCTAAGACATTGGCTCTCTTTCAAACAGTGTAAATAAGAGGCGCTCATGTACAGATGAGCTATCTTGACTGGTCTCCCAGTCCACGGATAGTACCCCTGCTTGTAAACCTTGCTGTGAGAAGCTTCTGTCACCAGTGCACCTCAGTAAGGTCAAAGCATTGCATCAAGAAAGAGGCTCTGGTGCCTGATCAAGGCACAGCTGTGGTTTTGGGGAAGGGCCACCAACTATTTTGCACATTAACAGAGAGCAAAAAATGGGGTTTATTTTGACTAAAGGGAGATGACAAGGAAGCTGAGAGGCACAGCTCTGCTGAGAACAGACTCCCCATGGAGCGACACATTGGGAGGTCCCAGCACCCAGTCATCGTAGTGGAGACAAGAGTACTGGAGACAGACTTGTCCACTTAGGCTCACCCTCACCAGCAGGGAGGTTTGGGCTCCCTGGGTGGCAAATCAAGAAGCATGGTGAGAATTTACTCTTGTACATTGTTGGCTCCTGTTTTGATCATCCCGTGGAGCTACTAGCCTACATACTGACAATTCAAAGGAACACATTCAGGAACAAAGTCTTCTATTCTCACTAATTGTTTAATAGCATGCTTGCATTTGAAAACCTCAAAGGACAAATGACATGTCAAACTGGACTCTCAATTATAGGAAGATGAAAGCAGACATCGAAAACGTATTTACTGTCTTGGGTCTAGGAAATGGGTAGAATTGAGTCCGTGACCTCAGCACTTTGTACGGTTCATTCCAAGAACCTGAAAATTTCACAGGCCTGAGGAAGGGAGCTCTTTGATGGCTCTTAAATTGAGTAACTCGGTGTTCCACTCCATTTACAACCCAGCTGGAAACAGGGAAGATAATGACGGACTTTGAACGTGGGCGAACCGTAATCCTTTCTCTAGCACATGTAACATAAACTCTGCATTCTTATAAAACTGCTATTTTTTGTAAACGCAATACCCACACACAATCACATGACCTTAAGGAATGTTAGATTTGCCCTATTGAATTGGATTAGTCTAATCTTGGTTGGGTTTGCAGTGCAAAGGATCAAAAATCAAATTCTTTGCAGAAACATCACCTCAGTGCTAGAGTCTTACAAACCCTGGGGTGGGAAATAGCCTTGCATTCAATCGCATTCTTGTCATTGCATTAAGAGTTCTAGTGTGGCTACAGAATACAGTGAGTCAGAGATTCCGGGGAGGCCAGATCTGACGGAGTTAGTAAAGAGGGTTTTCTTTTAATAAAGTTCCAGAACTTGTAACATTCAGGTAACTCTTTGTGGTCTTTCACTCTGGATTGAGAATAAAAAAAAAAGAGAGAGAGAGAGAGAAATGGATTTCATTTGAATGGTTAATAATGCATCTGAAGCGTCTGTTTTTGTAGTTTCTTTTCTTTTAAACTGTGAATTATTTTGCAGGGTACGGAGCCAGCCCCATGCATGCCCTGAGGCAGGCAGGCGCCCGGCTCAGGCAGCACACGCCTTCACTTAAAAAGGCCGAGGAGCGGCGGGATCCACCTGAATCCAATTACATCTGGTGAACTCCGACATCTGAAACGTTTTAAGTTACACCAAGTTCATAGCCTTTGTTAACCTTTCATGTGTTGAATGTTCAAATAATGTTCATTACAGTTAAGAATACTGGCCTGAATTTTATTAGCTTCATTATAAATCACTCAGCTGATATTTACTCTTCTTTTAAGTTTTCTAAGTACATCTGTAGCATAATGGTATAGATTTTGTTTCAGTCAGTGCTTTGGGCCTGATTTTTATACTGTCAGTTGATCAGGTTAACATTTTGCATTTTCGGTGGGTAGTTGGCAGATAATTTTCAAAATTACTATTCACTTGTGGTGCCCTGGGGCTGGGGAAGGTTAGAGAGGGCAAATTAACCAAAAATGCCGAAATCAGGAGGGGTTTGGGAGAAGCACTTAATGAATTGTGTTGAAGTTACACCATTGTGAATTTTACTGTCGCATATTTAGATATTTCTCATTTTTAAAAAATCACTACTTTTTAACTCTCAATACAATATATGACTTCTTAGAGAATTTGATATTAAAAAAAGAAACAAAAACACTGTAGTAGTGCATTTAACAATATAATATATTGTAAACACATTAAAATAGTGGCACTAATGTATGAACTCTTTGCATTGGCTTACAGCAATATAATATATTGTGAAACAAAACACAGCTCTTACATAATAAACATTTTATACTATTTGTATGTATAAAATAAAGGTGCTGCTTTAGTTTTCTGAATTTTGTGTGCTGTAGTCTTTGCATATGCTACTGATTGTCTTCCTACTGTATTTGATATTTTGTAGTACCTTAAAGGAGGTAAAATGTTCTTCGATCACTCCAACCCCTCCTCCTAGCCTTCTAGATCCGTAAGCAAGCTGATTTTTGGTATCCCTTCAAACTGATCATCTTTAAGATGTATCTTCCACATATATTTACAAATGAACTAAGTAAAAGAAGAGGTGTAAAGAAGAGTTGCTGATAGGGTTCAGTTATTTGCTCACTATCTCAGGCAATTTGTCTCTGCTTCTAAAATTCCATGTGTCTCACACCGCCCCTCTCAACAACATAAGCTCTACCATTAAGTCTAGCCAAGTGACTCAGAAGTTTATAGAACATATTTGTTATTTGACCCAGTTCTTTGACATTCTTAATACCACCTCTTGTGGCTTATCAAAGTATTCCCTTAAACAATAAACAAACACAATACCAGTGAATTAATTTCTACACTTCGTGACCCTACAGGTAGAGCAGCACTGTTCCATTGGGTTTCATTTTACACATGGTCACATCTTCCTGTTGAGGAGCTGCTGCTGTGTTCAGATTGCTGTTTGGTTAGTGCTTAACCACTAGCCACCTGAGGTTCACCATGTGAGTACTTCTCCCAAAAGGAGTGCTATCACATATTTTCCCCCTCATCTCCTACAATATTCAACAATCTTTATGACACAATTTTAGCTTGCTGAGTAGGCATATTATTGTTGTCAGGTGCCATTGAGTCAACTCCCATGCACAGTGATTCTATGTACAACAGAATTAAACCCTGCTTAAGCCTGCACATTTCTCACAACCTCTACTGTGTTTAAGATCATATGTTGTTGCAGGCAAGCGTCCTTCTTTCACTAACAGTAGGTGTAGGCAGCTCAAATTAAGACCGGAGAAATATCTTCCATGGATTTTCATGAAGAGATCAGAGTGCTATGTGATACAGTGTTCTCAGTAATATGGACAATTACAGCAGACAGCTTAATTTAATATACTTCAGGAAAACACAAATTGACACTAGAAAGTACAGTTCAATAAAACTATTTCTAATAAAAAAGGAGAAAAGTTGATACAGTGAAATGTTGATATGTGCCGTCGAGTCAGAACTGACTCATAGCTGACCCCCTCGCAGGTTTTCAGAGACTATAAAACAATCACAGGGGAGGAGATTGCCTATTTTTCTCCTGCAGAGCAGCTGGTGGATTCAAACCATCTGCTTTTGGGTTGGCAGCACAAATCTTAACCCACAACAGAGTTCCCTATATTAAGGTAAAAATTATTTTTTTAAATTGAGTAAAGGGAAAATACTACCATTTCAGAAGAATTTCCTAAAGTGATAAAAATAAGAATGAAAACAAGCACTAAAAGAGGGCTGTAATGCCTTGTATGTTAGGCTGTTAACTTAAAGGTCAGTAGTTTGAATCAACCAGTCACTTCTAAGGGAAAAGAGGGGCAGTCTCCTCCCATAAAGATTTACAGTTTCAAAAACCAGCTGGAGGGCCATTAAGAGTCAGGCAGTGGGTTACCTAAACACAAAAGCTTTATCATATCAAGACTTAGTTATGCAAGTAGTGCAGACATAAAAATTAATAAATATATTGAAGAAATGTTATCCATATGATTTAACATAAAAAAAATTTGAAGCTGTTTATAGGAAACTGATTATAAAACAAAGTATTCAGGCATTCTGTAAGATTTCTAAAACTATGTAAATTCTAAATATAAATTTATTTTGCCCCAGTTCACTGGTTTGTCTTCAATAATAGTTTAAAATTTACAAATGAAAAATAATTTTAATGAGTTTTGACACTGAAGAGTTGTTCCTTGGCAACCAATTTACCTTCTTAATCATGTTGATTTTGAACAACTGTTGAAATTCCCTGGCATTACTTGAAAGCAACTGGCAGTCCATTGGGTGACAAGAGAAAATTACTCTGAGATGACAAATAAACCACAAAATTCACAGGAGATTACTGCCAATTGATTCACTACTTGGTGAATCACCACTTCCTGCTCCATTGGTCAAGACATAGAGCAGAACATCATCCTAAGGCTGGATATGGATTCATGAATGGGAGGAAAACAAAGGACAAGCAGAGAACCTTAATTATAACTCAGGAACAGGACCAGCTACTTAAAATGATGGTCCCAGAGCAAAATGAAACTACAAGACTCTCTGTTTAAAAATTGAGACTTAAAAAAGACTTTCAAGGTGATGACAGCACAATGTTATCCCATGCCTGGGGCCCTTCTATCTGTCAATCTACTTCTCTTCTTCCTTGAGACTATAGCCACTGAAAACCATATTGAATACAATACTGTTCTGAAAGATGGAGCATGGCCATGGATTAGCATTGACTTGGCAGCAAAAGGAAGGTCTAGAGTGTTGGGGTTTTTTGTTTGTTTGTTTGTTTGTGGGATGAGGTGTCTTTCTTAGCACTTTACAGCACTGAACACAGAGCTGCCTAATCCAGGAGCAAATTCTTGACTTAAGCACAAGAATGTTTAGGTAAAATACAAAAGTGGCTGGGTTTGTCTCATGTACTTTGGACATATTTCCAGGAGGAACTGGTCCTTGGAAAAAAGACATCATGCTTGGTAAAGAAGAGGGTATAAAAGAAGGGAAGACTCTCAATGAAATGAATTAACATAGTGGCTGCAACAGTGGGCTCAAGCATAGCAACAATTGAGAGGATGAAACAGGACTGGATGGTGTTTCATTCTGTTACAACTAGAGTTGATACATATGGCTTGTTGTTGGTACTTAATGCCTAACAACAAAAGAAAATAGGAACTGGCCAAATGAACTCTTCTTCCCTTAGCTTTCCTCCTTAACTCCCTCTCAACTTTATCCCCTGGTCTAGCTGCTAGCACTCAGATCTTGAGGATGGACCTACTAGCCATCAACTCAGTTAAGCTATAGTTTATTTATTGGATTTCTTCTGTATTAAACTCATAAGTGAAAAATGAGGAAAGAAAGCAGAGGTCAAATTAAGGAGGAAAAAATGTATTATTTCATATCAGGTTCTCTGAATCTTAGTTTCTGCTCATGAAAGAAAGAATTTTAAGCTTTAAGTTTATAGCTCACAAGGGAAAGATATTTTTCAGAATTCTGTAAACAATATACTTTAACCAAAGGATAATTTTGGGTTAGTCCAATTTATAACTGCTGTTTTTTGTTAGACAGAAAAACAGAAATCTGGCTGGAGCTGGGCTCTTAAGCCTTGTGACAGAAATAAAGTTCGTCCCCACCCAGGGAAGCCTGATTCAAGGAAGAGACAAATGACACTCTCCAGAAACCCCAAAGACAAAGTCCCTAAAGCCCAAGTTAGTCTTGTCTCACTTGAGGAAACACCCAAAGCTAAAAGAGCAAGGCTGTGATTTTCTACACTGTAAAAATGATGAGTTTGTCCAGAGTCTGCATTTAAGCTTCAAACATAACACATTTTAGGAAGGAGCAAACTCTACTGCTACAAAAGCCAGACCTGGACATCTTGTCTACTGGGCATCTTGAATAATGAATCCCTGGCTTATTCCCAAAGAGCTAAACTCTAAACAGTCTACTTGAGTTTTAAAGCGTTCTTACTTTTCAATCATTTGGATCTCCTGCTCTAGCTTTGTTTATTTGGATTACATACTGCCTTTCTAAACCAAAACCAGGCACTGGAGGTAGCTTCAGAGTAAGGAGCCAAGGTGAGCCTTCAAGCTACAGCCATCCTGGCTCCAAATTTGAAACATCTTTGAAATGATACTGTGAACACAGGTTATTCTATGATAACATGTCTGAAGGCAAGTGGTTAAAAATGTATGGAAAAGAAAAATTACTATGTGGTTGCCCCTTTGGAAGAAACAAATAACCTTTGAAACAGACCATCAGGTTGAAATTGAAGCAAGTTGTCACTTCATGGACATTGATTGCCAAGAATCCAATGATGCCTTTTTTGCATGTGCCAACTTAAGAGACAGTGAGGTCAACATTTCACAGATGTGCATTACTGGAAATCTTAGCAAAGTAAAGGATAATAAGTATAGTGGCTTTCAAAAGTTGCATTCCAAACTTTTTAGAGCCATTCTATCAAAACTCTGACTCAGCGCATCTCTTTGAGAGGGTTATTACTTCCAAGGAGAAACTGAAGCCTAGGATTTAAGGTTCCTAAATTGTGCCCTGGAAACATTAGTTACTTGGTAGTTAATAGAAGTTAAATGAAAATGAGTCTTTGGGTTTAATACATCTAGAAAACGGGGTTAGGGAAGGCTAACACCAAGTGAGGGAGGTAATTTTATTGTTGCAGTTCTCAGAGCCTTAACTACAACACTTGTATCATGCATCTTCAAGAGAGAATCAGTACACAGCATTCCCCAAACTTATTTGATCAAAAAGAACTGTTACCCTAGAGCAGTTTCCAGGAATAAGATTCCACAAAACGTGCTTTGGGAAGAACAGCCCTGGGAAGAAGCAGTTTAAAGTCTCTGAAGTTGAGTCTTTACCCTCTCCTTTCCCCCCACCCCCCCCAACAATTTTTATGTTTTCCTAAAAGTTTGAAGCTAATTCAAGGATAATGGAAACTTGTAACTTACTGCACAAAGAACTTCTGGTTTAAATTGTACATCAGTTGGTTTTAAGGTAATTTGCTTTCCCCCGCTCTATGTATCCCAGAACAAATTGATCTGGTTTTGTCTAGCTTGACTCATTTATAGGAAATTCAGAAAGCAGTTTAATTATTGTGAACATTTTAAATGTTAGATACAAGTTTAAAATGTATGAAATTAGTTTCACCAACACAAGAATAAATGGAATCCTTATATACCCCCTCCTCATGAACTATGTCATGGTCCAACATTTTGCATTTACAATAGTGAAAAATCTTTCACCACTTTGTGGATTCACAGTATACCTTTGGTGGTAATAAATGCCAAAGTTCAGGATGGGGTTAACATAGAAATGGTTAAGATTATGTTTTAGCTGGCCCCGTAAT